TGATCAAAAAGAACTGACAACGTCTGTCTGTTTAAATTTTTTATTGTCGTTTTCCAATTTTTGAATAATGTCCTCGAAGTTGTGGATAAGCTGTACAAAAAAAAAAAAAAAATAGTAATTTCGATCATCTCCGTCATTTTAAAAAAAAACAAACAAAAAAAAACAAACAAAAAAACAAACAAAAAAACAATGTGGTGTCTGTGTAGGTGTTAGGATTCCTTCTTTTTTTTTTACATCCTCATGTAAAAGTCGGAAGTTTAAAATAATCTACTGTGACGTCATGGGTAAAGGTTATCTGAGCGATTTGCTTGAATTGTTTGGTCTGTGTTGATAGAATTATCCCAGAAGATAGTAACATCTCCTTCAACTACAGATTCAGGATGTTCATAATACATTGCAGCTGTTTTTATCCCGTAGTGATGCAGATACTGACCTACCCTGCCATGACGGTTTTTGTACACAATAGGCGACAGTATTGAACATGATGAGAAATTATTATTATTATTATTGTTGTTGTTGTTATTTTATGTCCTTTGATTTCTGATGTATACCCATTTCTTTGCGGCTCCCAACCAGAGACCTAAGGTCAGAAATGGTATCATGACATTTAACACTGACCATTTTTGAGGAAAAAAAACAAAAACAAAAATCCCTAAAATTACAGACATTTTACATAAAGCTCTTCCTTATTCTGCTAATCTTCAACGGTGATGGGTCGAGGTCTATCCTCAAAAAAAAAAAAAAATAATAATATAAAATAATAGATTAGAGTCATATAATCCCAGGTAACAAAGTCTATAAACAGGGTCCCGGGGCTTCTCCTTTCGGATTCTTTTGGGGTGATTGGCAGAGGAGAAGAAAAGTTTTTTTTTTTTCGTCAGAGTAGATGTTGCAGATGTAGTATCTGTTTCGAGTCGGAGGCCTTCTATCCTCCCATGCGTCCACTTACCGTTGCGTGTGGTACCGATGGTATGACCGGCTATGACTAGTTTAGAAAAGCTCAGATCAGCTTAGACAATCTCCGGCCAGCTTAGACAAGCTAAGACCAGCTTAGACAAGTTATGACCAGCTTAGACCAGCTTAGACAAGCTTTGACCAACTTAGACAAGCTAAGATCACCTTAGATCAGCAGTCCGAATGGAAACAGTCGGGTTTTCACGTTAAAAACCAACCTTGAGTTCCAACGTGACTCAGTGATGGGGTTAACGTAAATCTCTGGCCTATTATAAGCCCAAAGCACAATCACAATTTAACCAACAGCAGTGCTTCCATCCCTAGAGGTTGAGTTCACCTTTTTTCTATAATCTTGAGAGCAAACTGTTCGAAATTTAAACATCACATTGATTACAAAGGACAAACATTGCCGGTGTATCAAATACCTTTTGTAAGCAATTGTTATCAACACCTGTCTACTTGGTGTTTTATTATCTCCTATGCTGAGTGTATTCGCAATCTTTCAGTTTGAAATAAGATGGTCATTTAAGCTAAGTAAAAAGTTCTGAAAACGTCTACCTGTGTATAATGCGACGCCCATTTTTACCTTCCATTTTCTTTTCTTGTATTAGGTACTAGGAAATATGGTAATAATTTAAAAATAAGGCGACCTGAAACTTGAAGACGCGATCAGACGAGATTTGAAAATGATGAAACCGTCATAGCACAAAAATAGATAAACTCTTGTCAAAGACTTCGCTGCGTGAAAATCGAAAATATATATATAATAAATCAGATAAAAAAATATCAGGAATAGAGAAAAATAAATAAAAAAAATGACCTCAACAAAGAACTTTCGTTGCTCTTTAAAACAAACAAACAAAAAAAAAAACATGATTTCACACACACACATATAAATAAATACATATATTGTCCACAGAGAGACTGTTTCGCTGTATCACAGCTCATCAGTGTGGCTACACGTCTGGCTGCCTCTAGCTAGGATTGAAACCCGACTGAATTGGCGTCAGTCGGAGGGATTCTACCATTATGCCGTTGGCGCATGGCAGGGGTGAAAGTGAATTTAAGCGTATCTATTTTTAGATAAACACACAGTGATGTGAGAACTCGATTCGATTTACCGAAGAGTCTTGCATTATTAGCCGTAATAGTCACTGTTTACAAGCTCACACTTCCTCCCCAGAGAGCTCAACCGAAATAAATTTTTCAGGGGCATATATATTGTCATCCACAGATAGTATTTGGCCAGTAATCTCTGTTTTATACAATTTTTATTAAAGACGACTAACAAGATTTCTTCTTTTATGCGCTGTGTCCTTTTAAGGCGTAAGTGATCAAGGCCCTCCACATCTTCCTGTCCCTTGTAGCTCTTAATAAGTTGTGTCTTTTTGCTATCCCTCCCAGATCCTGTTCTAGCATCCATTTACTCAAGCTCATCAAGTATGTTACGCGCTGTTTTATATATATAAATACTTTCATAAAAAACATTATTTTTTTAATTTGCAACTTTTTCTATATATACATATTAAGAAAGTATACGTGGCTTCTCATTATGTTATATATATATATATATATATATATATACAATGGTTTAAATAAAATGCCCCGTAAAGAGAACAGATATGCAGTATTTAACACTAAGAGCAGCAGGAGACTTTATGAGATTTCGTGGTACGGTTAATTGTTGTTAAGTCGATAGGGACAGTAGTAAAATGTCAAAATGACGCACTGTTATCCTCTCACTGAAAAAAAAAAATGTTGAAGTAATAGAAACGTCTGGAAGATAGCAGCAGTAGCAACTCTACGGAGATTATCAGGAAGAATATATGCAACACACACAAAATTCACAGATCAGGCATTTTTTTTTTTTGCTTCAAAAAGTATCACTCTTATCCAATAATTCGCTTGCCAGACATTTCATATATTTGGTGGGAAGGACAGACTTCGATTTTCTTCTCTTATTCAAAATTACATCAAATATGGCGCACGGGAAAATAATCACATTTTTACTAGAAAGGATATAAAAAGAAACCCAAGTTAAATTTATTGAAATATTATTTATCAAAAATAGAAGGTATTCCAATAACCTGGACCAATTTTAAATCGAGGTTATGATGGAGGGGCGTGAAAAAACAAAGAAGTTGAAACATTCGTACAGTTTTTTTATGGGGAAACACTAAAATTTCTTTGAACGTTTAATTGAAAATTTGTATTCCCGCTGAGCGACAGTCTTTAAAAATGAAGGAGATTACATAAGGTGTTCCAATAACTTGGACCGATTTAAAATGTGAATTAAGTTTAAGCGTCTAATGATTTTTTCATTTTCTTTCAGTTTTACCAACTTAAGTCGTTGACAATTTCAACCATGGAAGATTAACAATCAAACAGCGTGTTAAAGTTATCGAAGTTTATTACGAAAATGGACGTTCAAACAGAAATGCATTTTGCACACTTCGCGATTTTTTTTGGTCAACATAATCGACCAAACGATAGCGCAAATGGAAAAATTGTTCGTAAATTCAAACTGAGTCGGTGGCAGATGTGAAAACACCACTGCGTGTTCGTTTACACCGTTCAGCTGAAAACCTTGCTGCAATGCACGAGAATGTGGCCGAAAATCCATACCCCTCTATTCGTCATCGCGCGCAGGAACTGAACCTCTCCACAACAACGTTACATCGAATTTTGACAATATATTTATCGCTACACGCATACAAAATTTAATTGACACAAGAACTGAAACCTTCTGACCATTTGCTGTGCCGTACATTCGTCAATAGTGTGCACGAGCAAAGACGTGCTGATGAAGATCTTGAGTGATGAAACCCATTTTCATCTTGCTGGGTTCTTTAATAAGCAGAATTGTCGAATTTCGGCTGATGAAAATCCAAGGAAGTTTCTGGAAAAGCCACTGCATCCACAAAAGGTCATTGTTTGGTGTGCATTTTTTTTGCTAACGGAATCATTGGGCCGTATATTTATAAATTTGAACGTTCATTTTCGTAATAGGCTTCGATAACTTTAGCACATTATTTGATTGTTAATCTTTCCATAGTTGAAATTGCCAGACTTAAGTTGTTAAATCTAAACGAAAAAAAATCACTAGACGCTTAAACTTAATTAACTTTTAAAATCGGCATAAGTTACTGGAACACTATATAATCTCCTTCGTTTTTAAAGACTGTCACTCAGAGGGAAGACAAATTTTCAATTACACGTTCAAAGAAATTTTGGTATTTCCCCATAAAAAGATTAGTACAAATGTTTTCAACTTCTTTGTTTCTGAATTTTCATAACCCTCCATCATAGCCTCTCATCATAAAGATTTTTTATTTTTTCTTGGGTTTGATTTGCAGGGTCTGTCCTTGCAGTGTTGTGCTAGAGAATAACACTTTTTTTTCTGTTTGCCAAAGCAGGAGACTTTCGACGTAATGCTTCGTTTGCCCGATCAATTTTTTCGCTTAATAGATATCTGCTGTGATGGTCCTTCCATGCTCCACTAGCTCGTAATGAACGACAGTTTTAATATTCCAGAAAACACAGAGCAAGGATTTCTGTGGATGGAGTTCTAGTTTCGATGATTATCAGTATCTTTTTCATTTTTTGTTCATATGCAAAACCCATTTATCATCATTTCTAACAACGAGACGTCAAAAACGAAAATTCAGAATTCCGGGTCAAGATGGTTGGGCATTGTGTGTGGCTTTTAAGGAAAATCTAATGAATAATCCAAATTCCTTCTTTAAAAAATTCAGATCGAAGATTTGATTTTCTAATTCCAGACGGAATTTCCTGCCATTCAATCTCGAAGTTGATTTGGTTGGTTGACCCATAATTCATAGCATGAATACGTAATTAATTTCCAAATAACCTAATTGCCGTAAGCCATCCCAACAGTACAACCAAACTTACACCTGGTATTCTCAAATGGTCACCCGTCTAGGTAGTGACTTATCTAGAAGTTGCTTAACCTCAGCGACTGTATGGTAGCCGGTGTTTCGAAGTGATATGGTCGTAAGCCATTCCAACAGCACATCCAAGCCAAGCTTACAACATCTGGTATTTTCAAGCGGTCATCCATCATGGTACTGACCAACGCGACGTTGCTTAACCTTGGCGATCACACGGGAACAGTGTTTCAGCACGATATGACCGTAAACAAGAAGTAAATAAAAAGAAAAAAAAAAACTGGAAAAAAAGAAACGAAATGATTTGCTAATAGAAGTATTACTATTTAACCCATAGCTGAGGGGAGAAGAGGCGGATTCATACCTTTCCCAATGTTATTTGCGTAAGTGACTATAACGAACCCGGCTGTAATTGGAACCCGGCTCTCCGATTAACAATTCCTTGTTATTATCCGTTACACCACCTGCACATCCAAGCTTACAGCATCTAGTATTCCCAAGCATTCAACCATCTGGGTACTGACCAGACTCGACGTTGCTTAACCACTGTGATCGTACGGTAACCGGGGTTTCAACGTGATATCGGTGTAAGCCGATTTTTATTTTATTTTTCCTATACACACATTATATTCTCTTATTTAGGAAAAATCAAAATTTAAATGGATCAGTATTAATATTGTAAATCAATCAGTTATATGCCATGTGGGATACACACTTAGGTGATCTTGACTGATGAAGCGGTCTGTCCTGCATAGCTGGGCGTGGGGAGAAGATTCATACCGTTCCCAAGGGTACTAGCACGAAAGTGAATGTAATGGATTCGACTGGAATTCGAACTCGGCTCTCCGATTCCTCAATCCGAACCGCTATCCATATTGTACATACGTTATCTAATTATATTATATAAAGTCCACAGCTTGAATTCAATATCGTATTGCATTCAGTACGACTGTATGATGGAATTGGGCAAGGTACTTGAATTGGTCAGTCAGTCATTTATGTGTCATGCGTGATACACGAGGTAGATTTTTTCCCGCAATAGGTTGCCATTTCTTTCTGCGGTAGACAGGCTATAGAACCGGTCTGTCCTGCTATTTACCATAGCTGTGGGTGGGGGGAGAGAAGAAGAGGATTCATACCTTTTCCCAAAGGTATTAGCTCATAAATCAATGTAATGGATTCGACTGGAATTCCGATTTCTTCATCAAACCTGCTTATCCATTACTCCACCATGCCTTCCTTGTATTGTTTGTCTGAACATTCATTAAATATTAACCTACATCATATCTCATCTATAATCTTTTCCTCGGGTGCTTCGATGTGGTCTAATAGTTAACAAGCTTGTCTTACTAGATTACGACTGAGTAGCGAGTTCGCTGGTTGCCCCATCCTTTCGGTGTTGTGCCACACCTAAGCTACGTTTAGAAAATCATTTTGGTCACTTCGCGTGGTCTAATTGTTAGCAAGCGTGTCTCGCTAGATCAGTGACGACTGAACAGTGAGTTCGATCCTCACTGAGTGCTATATTATTTCGCCCTTTTGTCACACCTAAGCAAAGCTTAGTAAATAACGATATGAGATTTCCACATATTCTAATAGTAAGACCAAGTCCCAGGGGGCATCTCCCATGTTTTATCTCTCCCTCGAGAGCGGCTGGGTTTATTGGCCGGTGACTGAGGCTTCCCCCAAAAGGAGAATGCTGAGGCGCTTGGGAAATTTTTTCCACCGTACAGCCGATAAACCCATTAAAAAAAAACAAAAAACACGACATCTGGTTGCGTGCAGGCGCGCTGATACGTACTTATAATCTTTTTCTAGAGCGCTTCTCTGCTTCGAGTATTTTTTTTACGGTACGGTTCACCCTTTATAAGGCCCGGGACCACTCGAGGTAGAGGTTTACGCTGGGGGACAATTTATGCAGATAACAAAGGAAGATAACGGTTAACCCTAGCTTTGAACAGGTTACGATTGTAACGGGGAAATATCCTCTTAGGAGTGTGTTCCACAGGTCAGTGGTTCAAGCGAAGAAGCTGTTCGAATGGAACTTCTCACGGAGGAAATATGGGTGGCTTGATACTATGTAAGTGGTATGGCGTGTCCTTGCCGTGAAAATATGAACTGGTTGGAACAGGGAATATAGTTCGCCCGAGCACTTTCCGTCGAAATAGTGATAGTGCAGCGAAAGGCTTGCCACATCCCGCCTGCAAGAGAGAGGTTGGAGAGTGGAAAATAATTTGCCGTCCACAACGGCTCGGGGATTCTTTGGATTCTGGAGTATGAGGTCTGGGCAGTTCGCACCCAAATATGACAAGAGTACTCCATTTTTGTCCTTATATGGCTCTTGTAAAGTTAGAGGGTAGCAGAAGGAGTCAGGTACTTACTGGAGTGGTACACAGAGCCGACCATTTTTACCTGAATCTTTAGCAATCGACCGTATGTACGAGTTCCATTTGAAGTGAGAGGCGAGTCTGAGACCCAATACTCTTTCAAGGAGGCACGTTAGATAGCGGTTCGGATTGAGGAATCGGAAAGCCAAGTTCGAATTTCAGTCGGATTTATTACATTCACTTACGTGGTAATACCCCTGTGAAAGATATGACTTCTCCCCCCTCCGAGTCATGAGTAAATAGCAGGACAGACGGGGTTCTATAGCCTTGGGTGGCAACCGGTCTAGGAGAAGGAAAAATCTGAATTCAAAACAGGTCTGGAGAGGGATGGGCTCCGTCAGGCTATCTTGTCCAAGAAACACCACTTCTACTGCGTAGAATATATATATGTGTGTGTGTATATATATATATATATATATATATATATATATATATATATATATATATATATATATATATATACTGATGTTAAGTCATATTGGTCACACTATATGCCAGTGAATGCATAAATCTCTTCACAAATGAAGAGACTTGAGGCAACAGAAATGTCGTTCTACAGAATCATGTTGAGAATGCTGTAGATAATAGTAAATTTTATATAGTGTTTTCTTCAAGATTTAGAATGAGCAAACCAAATTCAAAGATTTGGGAGGGGGGAGGAAGAACCCAGAATGACATCAAAATCCACAAAAATAGAAAATAAATACAATGTATCACAAATGAGAGAGACATGTCATAATAGATGAATCCATCATAATAGATCATTCCATCAAAATAATTTATTCCATCATAATAGATCATTCCATCATAATAGATCATTCCATCATAATCAATGATTCCATCATAAAAGATCATTCCATCATAAGAGATCATTCCATCATAATCGATGATTCCATCATAAAAGATCATTCCATCATAAGAGATCATTCCATCATAATCGATGATTCCATCATAAAAGATCATTCCATCATAATAGATCATTCCGTCATAATCGATGATTCCATCATAATAGATCATTCCATCATAAGCGATGATTCCATCATAAAAGATCATTCCATCATAAGAGATCATTCCATCATAATCGATGATTCCATCATAAAAGATCATTCCATCATAAGAGATCATTCCATCATAATCGATGATTCCATCATAAAATATCATTCCATCATAATCGATGATTCCGTCATAATCGATGATTCCATCATAATAGATCATTCCATCATAATAGATGATTCCGTCTTAAATAAATCAACAATGTTTTCCGGCAATTTTTAACGTAAACTTTCTTGTTAAGAAATTGAATAATTTAAACACACACGACATTATGGATAAAGAATAATGAATTACAGGTTAATTCCCTTGGTAAAGGTATAACTCCTCTTCTTCTCCCCTTAGCTATGGGTAAATAGTAAGAGAGACGGCTTTCTTTCTCTGAATTCAAAACAGGTCTGGAGAGGGATGGGTTCCGTCAGGCTATCTTGCCCAAGAACCACCACTTCTACTGCGGCTACAGTACATGTGTTGCCTCTACGACTCTGAATGGTCGTGGGATACGCGATCGAGTCTTTCATGACACGATACCTTCCCGAGGGGTCGTCCGTTCATCCAGACTGGTGGGAGTTCTGGATTCGTTCGGCGATAATGGAATGTAAGTAGTTTGGCTACGTCTTAGTTCGATCCTCACTGGAAGCTCAAAACATTGCTCCTTGTTTCATTTCTAAGCCGTCTTTTGTGAACCATTATAATCCTTTAGTAATGCAGTCCATGTACTGAGGGTTTACGATACTTGGATAAATATTAGCTTACCTGATATCTCCTCCATTTTACCCCTAATTACAATTAATATTACACACTTTCGGCGTTAGGCTAGGTACATCTACTGGCAGTCGACGATGTCTGTACAAACATTAGCTTACCTCACATCTCAACTATAACCTCCACAATTTATATTTAATATTACAACCTTTCGACTTTAGGCTAAGTACATGTACTAGTGGTCTTCTATGCTTGGATAAACATTAGCTTACCTCATATTTCCGCTACAGCCTTTTGACGTTAGATTGACTAAAAATCGAATACACCAAACGCAAGGAAATGCGAAAATTTAAATATCTGGTTAAGTGTTTGATGTGGACCCAAAGTTGGGACCACGGAAGGAAAACACGGAACACGGATTAGATGTAAGAAAGATATATTAAACAAAAAGGTTACAAAGATAGTTTAAGTGTAAGCGGAGCTTACTATGTGCTAGTGTCCAATATTGGTAGTCGTACGCGGCTGATATTACGGTATTAGAATACTCTCTCTCTTTCTCTTTCCTCCTCTTCTCTTAGAGTATTATATCGCATACTTTATATAGTCCTGGAAGAGTCCATGTTGTAGGTATGTTACGGTCTCACAACAGTGTTGTAAATTAGGACGGAAAATGAGACACCGAAATCCAAAAGCGCACTGGATAACGAAAGATGCCTTCCAAAAGCTAAGAAAACTATCAAGAAACAGGAAAATATAATTAGAAACAAAGAAAAGGGTGCTAAACTATTACATCATATCAGTCCCCCTATACGGCAGTGAATGCTGGACAATCTCTTTGCCGATAAAGAAGAAACTTGAGGCAACGAAAATATAGTTCTACAGAAGGATACTGAGAATACCACGAACTGAATATTAAACAGTAAACAGGAAGTTTTAAGGAAAACAGAAACAAAATAGGTACTTGTACTTAGAATCAGAAGGAGTCATTTGAAATTTCTAGGACGTCATAATGAGAAAAGTGGGCTCGGGGAATTTGACACTCCCAGGATATATCGAAGGCAAGAGAGACAGATAGAAACAGCGAGCAACCTGTCTAGCTAAGGAATTTATGTAAATGGATGGCAGAGCGGGGATTGGGAGAAAAGACAACGCTTACTCAGGGCTCCAAAGGATAGGAACTTGTGGAGAGTCATGATCGCTCGGGGAAATGGCTCATATTAGTAGAAGAAGCAAATTTTCGATATTCGTTTGGATAAGTGGTGCAGTGTTTAAATTCAGCATCGACAAGCAAATCGATGACAAGGTGACACGTTGCGAAGACGAACAGGCAAGACTACGTAAATCGTACATTTGTGTGCATGTAAAATCTTTGATTGTCAGTGTTTATAAAACAGCACAAGACAAAACAAAATCCGTCTGTTTCTATTTGCTGGTGTCTGTGATTCT